AAGTGCGCCACATATTGAAAGGCATTGGGCCTGTTGCCTTTGATGCCCTCGCTGTGCAAAACCCAGCTACCATCGCTGATGTCGTTGCGACATGCCAGCGCCTTGATGCGCTGGACTCCGTCCGCCTTCAACCAGACATCGGCGACCACCCTTCCACGTCAGATGGCCATCTGCGTGACCTCATCCGGGACATTATACGCGAAGAATTGCGGTCCATGGGCTTCACATTTCCTACACCGCGACCTACACAGCCTTCGGGAATGCCTTTACGTGACATCATCAGGGAGGAACTTACATCCCTGACTGGCTCTGCGCCCGTACAGCCACCTGCTTCTCACCCTTTAGCCACGTACCCTTAAGTTGCTGCCGTGCCTCCCAGCGACGCCACGTCCATCCTACGCGTCAGTTGCTGCCGCTACCTCTGTGAACTACCTTTCCGTGCCCCCTGACCCTTCGGCCCACCTGACCGCGCTATCTCCAAGTGCCCGAATGCCTTCTATTCTCCACCGTGGCGCTCGTCTCGCCCTGTATGCTACTACTGTGGCTATCGCGGCCACATATCTCGTTTCTGCCGGAAGCGCCAGCAAGATGAGCGTCGGAACGATGTGCGTGAACGAACGGGATTTGTACAACGGGGCGTCTTATCAAGGTCGGCGTTATTCGTCTCCCCAGCACCGGTCTCCATCTCCTCCTGCATCGACTGCACCACGAAACAGCCGAAACACGAGACGCCGCTCGCCTTCGCCCTTCCGCCGTTCCACTTCTCCACTTCGGCCCGCCTCATTCACCTCTGATATTCATTCGGAAAACTAAGTGATGCAGTTTGTGGAGGAAAAACTGCATTCGGAATTAGAACTGAAATTCCTCCATTAGGCCCGTGTAACATGGTTTCTGTGGAAGTGGAAGGAGTGCAACGTCGATGCTTTGGTGGACACAGGTGCGACATTGTCTGTGTTAAGGAAAGTAATAACGCTTTACGATGGTCCCATGTTAGTTGCTGCCCAGGGGAACATCATTCGCCCTTCCGCGCTTTGTACTGTGCGTGTTTTCATCGACGGCATCCGCCATCATGTCCAGTTTGCTGTCCTGTCCCGCTGCTCTCACCAACTAGTTTTAGGGTGGGATTTTCCATCAACTGCTTCCGCGGCAATTTGTTGTGGACAACGCGTCGTTCACCTCGCTGACACCGAATACATGCTTGACGACAATAATCTGAAGCCACTTCGTCTGGTCGCTGCGAAAGACATCGAACTCCCGCCACTACAAGAGCAAATTGTCACCATTACGTCCAACGGCATCTATCACGGGGATGTATTGGTCTCACCGTCACCACTTTGCGTTCGCAAAGGTATAGTTCTTCCGTCCGGTGTCGTTCGTTTTTGCAATGGCTCGGCACTTGTCACCGCTGTCAACTCTACATCTTACTGCCACAGGGCACTACTGTGGCCCGTGTTGCTGACTTCGAGCCTGTACTCGTCACGCCACTTCAGGCCATCGCATCCAAAGAACCTTGCCTCGGTGAGCATGTTTCTTCCTCCGCCTTTACCACCACTATCAGCAGCGAATTGACATAATCACAGAGGCAGCAGTTGCTCGCATTGTTACAGAAACATGCAAATTCTTTCGATATCTGCTCGTCTAAGCTGGGCCGCACTAATACTACAGCACATCGAATTCAAACTGTTGGGACATCTATTGTACACCGCCGACCCTACCGCGTGTCCCTAACTGAAAGAAAAATTATAGAAGAAAACGTTGCGGACATGCTTAAACGGGAAGTCATCCGTCCTTCATCTAGCCCGTGGTCGTCTCCTATTGTTTTGGTCCATAAAAAGGATGGCTCTGTGCGGTTTTGCGTGGACTACCGGGCGCTCAATAAGATCACACGCAAGGACGTGTACCCTATGCCACGCATTGACGACGCCCTTGATTCCCTACAAGGCGCGGAATTCTTTTCAAGCATCGACTTGCGTTCTAGGTACTGACAGATCCCCATGCATGAAGACGATAAGGAGAAAACGGCATTCGCAACCCCCGACGGGCTATATGAATTCAACGTGATGCCTTTCGAGCTCTGCAACGCACCCGCGAATTTTGAGCGCATGTTAGATACCATGCTGCGTGGCCTGAAATGGAAAAGTTGCCTTTGCTACCTGGACGACATTATTATCTTTTCGTCAACGTTTCCTGAGCACCTAGAACGATTGGATCAAGTTTTGACGTGCCTTGCCGGCGCCGGGCTTCCAATAAACACGAAGAAATGCTCTTTCGCTAGCAAATCTATCAAGGTCTTAGGACACGTCGTTAGCAAAGATGGCATCCGGCCCGACCCTGACAAGATTTCTGCAGTCCTTCTCTTTCCGCGCCCCGAAAAACCAAAGGAGCTTCGCAGTTTTTTTTGGCCTCACCTGCTATTTTCACCGGTTTATCCAGAACTTCGCTTCTATTGCTGCTCCACTACACCAAATACTTGCTTCCAACGTCCCCTTTGTGTGGTCTCAAGAATGCCAAACAGCATTCGACCTGTTGAAGCGGGCACTCACGTCTGAACCTCTGCTCTGCCACTTTGACGAAGCCCCACCAACTATCCTCCATACTGACGCTAGCGGCCTTGGTATAGGAGCCATTCTTCTACAACGCGACAAGTCTTCCCTAGAGAAAGTTATTGCATATGCCACTCGCGTACACACCGCTGCTGAAAAAAACTACACTATAACTGAGCAAGAGTGTCTGGCTGTGGTTTGGTCGGTCCAGAAGTTCCGTCCTGATCTCCACGGGCGTCACTTCACAATCGTTACAGACCACCATGCCTTATGCTAGCTTTCTACACTGAAGAACTTGTCCGGACGCTTGGGTCGGTAGATACTACGCTTGCAGGAGTACGACTTTGATATAACTTACAAGTCAGGCAGAAAACATCAAGACGCCGATGCTTTATCTCGTTGCCCGCTTCCAACTACCCATATGAGCGTTGGTGAGAACTCAACCGCCACATCTACCAAAGTTCATACGCTCGCATCAATAACGCAACCCTTTTCGGACGATGAGCCAACATTTATCTCCCGCCAGCGGTCCGATTCATACTGCAGACGCATCATGGACCACCTTTCGGGAGTTTCTCATCCACCAAACGCGCGACTCCGTCGTCAACTCCTGCACTTTAAGCTGGACAATGGGGTTCTCCACCGCCACGTGTACCACCCTGACGGTCAGCGCTGGGTTCCTGTACTGCCACGCTCTCTTCGACTTCAGGTGCTCGAAGCCTTCCACGACGACTTGACTGCTGGTCATCTTGGTTTTAAAAAAAACTCTTGACCGCATTCGATGTCGTTATTACTGGCCTGGCCTTTCTTCTAGTGTAGCGCGGTACGTCGGTTCCTGCTACCCATGCCAGCGTCGTAAACTCCCCACGTCGGCACCTGCTGGACCTCTACAGCCACTTCCGTGCCCTTCAATGCCGTTCGAGGTTGTAGATGTTGACCTTTACGGGCCTCTCTCCGTCACATTTGCTGGCAAACGATGGATAGTGACTGCCGTGGACCACCTGACACGCTACGCTGAGACTTCCACTGTTATTACAGGCTCAGCTGTGGAAGTTGCAGACTTTATTCTTCACACAATAATACTGCGTCATGGGGCTCCTCGTGTACTGCTTAGTGACCACGGCAAAGTGTTCCTGTCACAAGTTGTAAATGAAGTACTGCACGCATCTGGAACTACTCACAAGACAGCTTCAAGCTACCACCCTCAGACAAATGGTCTCACAGAAAGATTTCACCGAACCCTAGCAGACATGATAGCCGTCTACGTCCAACCCGTCCACAAAAACTGGGACACTCGTTTACCATTTCTGACATTCGCTTACAACACCGCCGTTCAGCGAACAACTTGCTACTCACCGTTTTACCTCGTGTACGGACGCACCCCGACTACCTTTCTCGACGTCTCCTTCTTTAGCAGCCATGGGAATTCATGTCAGTCTTCTAGCGAAGAATACATTTCCCGCCTGGCCCAGTCTCGCCATCAGGCTCGCATCAATACTGAAGCGAGACAGTACGAGCGGAAGATCATCTATGACGAATCCCACCGCGTTGTGTTTTTCCAACCTGGTGACGAGGTGCTGCTTTTGACACCTATTCGCACTCCTGGTCTCTGTGACAAATTCCAACCACGCTTCATCGATCGGGCCATACATTGTTTTAGAACAGACTTCGCCGGTTAATTATCGTGTGACACCACTCGTCGCCCCAACAGACCGCCGCTGCCGCAGCACAGAGATTGTCCACGTTTGTCGCATGAAACCTTTCACGCGACGTTCCCCATCACTTTGACTTACGGCGGCCAGGGTGTCCGCTTTCAAGTGGGTGGGGAATTAGTGTGGGCATTTGTAACTTACATCGTCCTCACCCCTGCATAATCACAATCACCATCATCTGCTTGTCTCTTGGCCCTCATTGCCACTCTGGGTCATCATCATCGTCATCGTCTGTGTGCTGGCTCTGCCCGTTCGTTTTGCGAGGTCTTTCCTCAAATAAACGCTGTCGCAGCCAAGACTACCAAGACTTCATAATATATATATATATATATATATATATATATATATATATATATATATATATATATATATATATATATATATATATATATACACTCCCGCCGGATGAGTGAGGTAGGTTCGCCGCCCCACTGGTGAAAGTGTGACAAACACGAGTGCAATGAACTGACTCATTTGGAAATCCAAAGAATCATAACGTTTCGTATCGTAGGACTAATCTACAGTAACGTATCAACTCGTTCGTGAGTGGGGGGGGGGGGGCAAACCTACCTCACTCATCCAGCGGGATATATATACATATATATATCACCGAACAGAAGAGTGGGTGCATCATTCCACCTCGTAGAATTCACTGCTACCTTGAGATTCATACAAGAAAAATTCTGATTTGCGTCAACACTGTGATTTATTCAGCTACTACGCGTGTACGCCAGGGAAGGAGGATGACATCACCGCAGACTGATTCATCTGGGTCATTAAATAGCGTCAATAGATTCTGGCTTCCATAGTTCGCACTGAATTTCTTGACGCACTATACAAATACTTATATCCTATTGTGCGCTAACAAGCCTAGAAAGTAATGAGTGAGGTCACTGGCATTCGGTTATACACATTTTATAAAAAATAAGACAACAGGTTGGAAGTTAATAGGGAAGAGACTGTGATGACTGTTCTAGAGAGTAAGTTGGGTGAAAGTCTCAACTTACGACTCTTATGTTCGAAATAAAAAGACATAACACAATTGAGCTAACACTTGACCGCTGCGCCAATGTTGGCTATACCCGGCGCTATCAGGAAAGCTAGCGCAGAGATATCAAGCTTGAACTTAATGAATATGTATACCGCAATTGCGGTGGCTATGCTTCATGGTTAACCGCCAGTCAGGTAACCAGGCTGCTGGATTCATGTAGGCTAACTTATCAGCGCAAAACGACATGACATTTAAATGTCCCGTCTTTTTCCACTGGTAAATCAGTTTAATATTCATGAATTAGCTAGACCAAGTAACACTTTTAGTGCTGGATTCATTTCAGCAACGAGAAGCACTTCGCCTTCTGTGGGTCATCTTTTGAGTAACATAGAAACAGGGGGCAGCAAGGCCCTTTGGTTGTGAACTGTTGCTCAGTTTGTATTTTAAGAATATCCCTGACGGAGAGAATTGTATCTCGACCACCTGATAGACACTGTAATGCACTTATCACCAATGTGGTTACCGTCACTTCTGACGAAAACAACGCACTTAGGAGGACTACCTTCGCCACGAGATTCAGCGCGAGATTGCGAAACATGCTGCCACTACAATATAAAAAACAAACTCAAAAGCGGGCCTTCAGATGATATTGTGGCGAGAGCTGTCTGGTGTGCCCAATTCAATATCATCACGCTAACCATGATTATCGCTGGACCTGGTTTTGTTTAATGAACATGGGTTGACGTGGGTAACATGGCTAGGAAACTTAAGTTGCGCGCCAGTGTAGTAATATATTCAGATCGGTAATGTTCTGCTTGCTAAAATGGGAACGCCATATAGAGGATAAAACAATTGTACCCAACATTGCTTGGCATTCATTTGTGAAAGGAGCGTCTCCCGCAATTTGTTGTAAATGATAGAAGAACGAAATACTAAGGTTAAAAAATTTATACTCTTATTTTTCTTGTCTAATTAGCTGCTGGCATTGCGCATTGTATATGCGGTGAGCAAGTCCACCTTGTGTGACACCTTTGAAAACAGTTCTACAGACTTCGAGGGGTCTTTCATGTACAGACGAATTCCTCACGCGGAGATCGTAGTAGGAAAGGTGCCCTAGAAGTAAAAAAAAGCAGATTAAGAAAACGATACCACGTATACTTCTGTAATCAACCACAGGCACTCACGCACACATCTTCGCGCACGTGGCTTCGGTTGCCGCATAATCAGGAGAAAACAGGTAAACGCTTCTAAAAAAATTGTTTATTTGTACGACTCGACCAATTATCATTATATTATGCGTTTATTGACCGCTTGTTCATGTGTGCACTTTGATTGTATAAAAGTGCATCGCTGCCTACTAAAATTTGTCTGATGAAGATCGGTCTCCAATCGAATCGTCACCAATAAACAGCTCTTTATAAGCGTGTACCTGTTTTCCCGTAAATAAATAAATAATATATTTATATATATATATATACATATATATATATATATATATATATATATATATATATATATATATATATATATATATATTAGGAACAAACATTGAGCTGTTGGGTACAATACATGATTGAAGAGAACACATGTACGAAGTGTGGTTTTATTAATGTTTTGGCTAAAAAGTTGAACCAAAATCCCGGAGCGTTGTTTTAAATCACGCTCTTTGCACCATCTAGCCTGTGGAACTGAGCTCTTTGAAGCGCCACGAACATCTGCGTACGGCAAACGGTAAATTGTCGCCATTAACATTTCAAACAACGAGTAGCACATGAGAAAGAATTTTAACGAGGCAGGCTGTGGACTGAGGTGTTGCTGGTTTGAATCGCTTGTGCGCCCTTCAAAGTGTTCTTCTGGTACACATTCTTTGTTGCTTCTATGTGTATATACATATACATATGCGCACATAAAGGTGGCGAATATTCCCTCAGTGCCCAGATGTTCGCATGCGCAATAAGATAAGCACTGCTAGATGGTCAAAAACTTAGTTGGAGCTTAGTTTTTTAGACACTTCAAAAGCTTCTGCTTTAAATGAGAATGTTCACGAACTAGCTCAACCTGCCATCTTATTGCTTCTTACACTATGTCACACCAATTTGGGAAAAGGCATATTTGGTGGCGCCCTACATGGCTTGACTAGCGTTTGCTGGCGCCCTACTGACTTGACTAGCGTTTTGCCCTTGCGGGCGTCTTTCTCTGGTCGCTCGGAATAAGATGTGCTGCATGTTTGTGCTCGCTCGCTTGCCATCTGTACATAAGTGCGTTTTTCTGTTTCTGTGTCTGTATGTCTGTATGCAAACCTCAGCCATAAAAGTAAACGACACCGCAGAACCTATATGTCACTGGAATTGGGTGAATATTCCCACAGCACACCACACACCTCCACTCAGCTTTAACAAGGGAGCATATTGCCGGTAAATACCCAGTATGGCCCACACTTTGGAGCTTTTTATAATAACGAGCTCTATTCGAAATACTCGGGCAGAATTGGCCACATGGTGACTCATATTTGTGACCATTTTATATAAACAAAATGTTGCAAACCTTGCTGATTACATTCATGGTGTAATAAAAAGAAATTTCAATTCATGGTCGAGTGCGTGGACTTTTTTTTTCATTTCTTTCGGTCATTGAATGTATACATCTTTGTTCTCAGCAGAAGGAGGCTAAGTAAGCTCTTAGGCAGTTAACCAGGGCCGATAATAGCCACAGCAAAAAGACGAGAGTACTTTAGACCTTTTCAGTCAAGGCTGCCTGGGCGCCGCCACAGTCCTGTCTGGGCTGTTGCTAACATGTGTGAACCCTAAGAAGGCAGGGCATAATCTGTGCCGCCAGCTTTTGTACTCCAGTGCAACAGCCCAGAAAGGGGGGGGGGGCGATGCTCCTCTCATAAGAAGGGGGTATACACTAAGAGTAACAGATGTGAACGGGTAAAGAAAGAGGGGGAGTGATTGTACAGTATCAAAGACAAACACCAACATGACTGATTGATTGATATGTGGCGTTTAACGTCCCAAAATTACCATATGATAAGAGAGACGCCGTAGTGGAGGGCTCCTGAAATTTCGACCACTCGGGGTTCTTTAACGTGCACCCAAATCTGAGCACACAGGCCTACAACATTTCCGCCTCCATCGGAAAACAAATACCAACACAGAAACTAAAAGTACACTTTAGCACTTGTGGAGGAAACCTCGAAAGAAGTGAGGAATAGAACGGCAATATTTCATTCATGTTAATTTCTTAAATCTCTTCTTCACTTTTTTTACATTTTATGTTTATTTTTGTTTGTTTTTCGTTCCTGTCTCTTTGTATTTTTTGCATGCTTTCTTCACGTGTTTCGATTTTTTCTTCCTAAACCAGGCTTACACACTGAATCTTTGTGTTTTTGTTTTCATTTTGTATTTATTTTTTATTCTCCATATGGAACGTTTTTCAGGTTTCTTCTCGATTATCTATTTCTTCAGATTCCTTCTTTTAACCACGCTTTTGGTGTGCTATGCTGTGAAATACGACCTGTTCTATGGTCACGGAGCTTCCTGGACTGCCGAGCGAAAAAAAGTCGTTTCACCATTAAATACGGATTTCTTCTCCGCTAGGTTGATTGGTATTAATTGGTATCACAAGCATTAGTGTCGTTTAGTTTAACACCATTTTGGATATAATGTACCAAGGCAAAAAAATTCATTCTCTCGTGGTTTTTTCTTTCAAGTAGTCACTAACACCGGTTATGGTTAAGGGGGAAAAGGCGGGCACGGCTTATGACGCCTTTAAATAATTCTCCAGACAGAGTTCAAGGAATCTTGTATATATCAATAAATTCCTCATGTCCCCTCTCTCTCTCTATCTCTCTCTCTCTCTCTCTCTATATATATATATATATATATATATATATATATATATATATATATATATATATATATATATATATATAGTGATGTCGCGAGATCTAGTGAGCACACTAAGTGCCTAAAACAAATACGCTTTATCGATCAACGCAAAAAGACTGCAATGACTTCTTCATTTTTTGCCCTCGGCCACTCGCCATGCTTTGTTGTCGCCACCACTGGCACATAGGCGTGGCATTATTCCCCCTTAGGAAACATCGCCCCGACGTTAAACGTTCGAGAAGGAAAGCGAAACCAAAACTGCACAGTTAGTCAATGAAAGTGAGGCTTCATCCGAAGCACGTGGACAATTTCTGGTGAATGTCTGTGGCGCTTCGAACACTGCACGCCGTCCGGAACAACCTCGTAGTTGACGTCACTGATGCGTCGAAGGACCTTGTAGGGTCCGAAGTATCTTCGCAACTGCTTTTCAGAGAGCCCACACTGATCAATAGGTGTCCAGAACCATACTTTGTCGCCCACGTTCAATATGACAGGTTTCTGCTGGAGGTGGTAATGTTTGGCATGATCGTCTTGTTGTTTGGTGATTCCCAACCTGGCAAGTTGCCGGTCTTCTTCTGCTACCTAGAAACTCTTGGGCGTCCGTCTTATTTCCATCATTTTTATGAGGGAGCATTGCGCCTAATGTTGTCGTAACTTCGCGTCAATAAAGGAGACTGAAGGGTGTATTCTAAGTGGTCTCATGACGAGCCATGTTGTAGGTGAACGTGGCGTAGGGCAAAATGACATCCCAGTTCTTGTGCTCTACATCTACGTATATGCTTATCAGGTCAGCTAAGGTTTTGTTGAGGCATTTGGTGAGCCCGTTGATCTGTGTATGTACGCTGTCGTCTTCCTGTGAGCTGTACCACTTAGTCTGAAAATGGTGCCCAAAAGCACGGCCATAAACGCAGTACATCTGTCGGTGATGACATTTGCGGGAGCACCATGTATTAAAACAATGGCTTCGATCAAAACTGCGCCAATTCAGCTGCTGTTACCCGTGGCAGAGCGCCTGCCTCCGCGTATTGGGTCAGGTCCATGGTGACGATCATCCGTGGCGACGATTATCCGCCGGTTTCCAGGGGCAGACATGGGAAGGGGCCCAGAAAATCTATACCAATCTGTGCGAACGCTGTCGCCGGCACTCGGACAGGCTGCAGCAGGCGAGCTGGTTTGATGGATGGTGGCTTGTGACGCTGGCAATCTAGACATGCCTGCATGTAAGTTTTGACAACTTCGGCAAGTCATGGCTAGTAGTAGTGCTGCCTTATCCTCGCAAATGTTCTTGCGTAACCCAAGTGACCAGCGCTAGGTTCGTCGTGACAAGCTTGCAGTACCTCACGGCGAAGCGAAGAAGGAACGATGAGCAAGTAGCTGCTGCCGGTGGGTGAAAAGTTCCTCTTATAAAGAACGTCATTTCGCAAGAAGTACGACGGCAGCCCTCTCGCAAATAACTTCGGAACGCTATTCGCTCGCCCTTGTAGGTAATCCTATAAGTGGTAGCAGCTCAGCATTCGCCACGCTGCTGTTGAGAAAAGGCAGCAGTGTCCACAATTCCGAGAAAGGCCAGTGTCGCCATTGTCGTTGTCTGGGGATGCCGTCTCAACAGGAGACCGAGAAAGACAGTCGGCATCGGTGTGTTGTTTTCCCGACTTGTAGGCAACAGTGAAGTCAAATTCTTGGAGCCGAAGACTCCATCGTGCAAGGCGGCCAGACGGATCTTTCAAGTTGACTAACCAACAGAGAGAGTGGTGATGACTGATAACGGTGAATGGGCGGCCGTACAAATAAGGACGAAACTTCAGGACTGCCCTTACCATTGCAAGACATTCTTTTTCCGTCGTAGTGTAATTAGCCTCAGCTCGGGACAGCGTCCTACTGGCGTAGGCGATCACATTTTCGTTGTTGTCCTTTGACTGTACGAGCACTACTCCAAGACCCACATTACTAGCGTCTGTATGAAGTATTCTGGGCGCGTCTTCATTGAAGTGGGCCAGCACGGGTGGTGTTTGCATGCGCTGACGAAGCTGGTGAAATGCCTGCTGTTGGTCTTCGCCCCATCTGAAGGGGGTATCTTCCCGAGTAAGCTGTGTCAATGGCCATGCGATGCGCGAAAAATTAGCTATAAACCGCCAGTAATAGGCACAAAGTCCAAAAAACGTCGCACTGATTTTTTGTCTGATGGCGTCGGGAAGTTTGCCACGGCGGCAATTTTATCCGGGT